TTTACTGAACAGTCATAAACTGTCATTGTGATGGAAACGCAGCGGAGTGCAGTGATGACAGTGCGGTGCGGGCCACATTGCAAGGCCTGGCGGGACGGATTTGGCCCGCAGGCCTTGTGTTTGACACATGTGCCATAGAGGCTGTGAATCAGACTCTGCCTCTCTCTCTTGGCAGTCAGTGCTGGGTTGCCATGGAGACCCAGCACTGACTGCAGGACTGACTTCTGGTGTTTGATGGAGCCTTCAGTTGGTCCATACAGACCCTGGGTTTTTATATATTAGGATAGACAGTAGATTTCAAAACAATATTGAAAAACCATGAATTAACCATCTCCAGGTTAAGTGTAACAGCTTGTATTTTAAGGATTCATATAATTACTATTGTAAATTTTATCTTGCATACATTTTGGTGGTCATTTTTTGTTAGACATTCAGAAATATTTAGTCATAGCCTAAGAGGTAGTAAGCAATTGTGCTTGGTTCTGGGGCTACAAAGAATAAGGTTCCATTTCTTCCTACAAATGGCTTATAGTTTAGATTAGAAATGGGAACTCAAGGGGTTGGCAGTGTTCAGTCCTCCTTGAACAAGAGAAACAGGAAAGATTTCACTGAAGAGATGACATTTGAGCTGAGTTTTATAGATGAGGAGGTCTTTCCCCACATAGAAGATGAAACTGAAATAAGTATTCATTAGGCAAATGGAAGAGGCCATTCTAATTGGAGAACTGTGTACAGAAAACAGAAGGGTATGAAAGGCCTGTTATGTTCAAGTACTTAACAGCAGCTCAGTGTGGCCAGCGGGTAGCATGTGAATGGGGCTATAATGGAAGATTGAGGCAGAGGAATCAGAGACCCAATCAAGAAATGGTCTTTGTTTATAACAGGAAATATAAAAATTGTGTAGGCAGTGGGAAAGCCATTAAAATACTTAAGTAAGCAAATAACAGAGCAGATTTTTGTTATTTAAAAATCCTCTACACTTTAGTAAAGAAAGATGGATTTCAGTGTTGCCAGTCTGGAGTCAGGGAAACCAGTTAGGAGGTTAATGTAATAATCCAAGCAAGAATTGAATGCATGAAATAACCATAGATAATAGAGATGGACAGGAACAAATATCTAAAGACATTTGATGGTGGTTTGGATTGAGGATCAAGATTAACCTCCTGATTTGCAACTTGTGTAACTAGGCAGATGGGTAAGATTCCTCTTACAGAAATAATCTGTTTGGGAAGGACAATGGTTAAGTTCCATGTGGATAGATTGATTTAAAATCCTGTTGGACATCCAGTAGACTAAGTTCCATGTGGATAGATTGGTTTAAAATCCTGTTGGACATCCAGTAGACTATATTGGGTTACATATAAAATTTTGGGACTTACCAGTATATAATTAAAACCTTTAAACTGGTGAGGTTGCCCAGAGAGAATTTTTAGAGCAGGAATTCTTTACTTGAAATCCAAATATCCTAAAATTACCCAAAATGTGTAAAGGTCCATAGCTTTCTTCAAATTGTCAGAAGGGGTAGTGTGAAAAGCGGCTAAGGATAGAGCCCTTAGTATCCACGTTCCTTTCAAGTGATAGGCTAGGATAATGGTTTCAGCAAAGAAGGCAGAAGAAGAATAAGAGTGTAGAGAGAATCATGATATCAAAACCCAAGTAGAATTGTCAAGACAGATGAGAACTGCAGAATTGTTGGCTTAGCAATTAGAAGATTGGTAAAATGATTCCTGATAAACAATATGGAATTAAGTGTATATGAATTTTATGAAACTTCCCCAGAAACACCAGGGTTTCTAAGAATTATAATGAACATTAGCCTATAATAAAAGTTCAAATGCCTTAAGTGTCTAAGGCTATGTTAAATTTTCTATTGCCTTGCCATTACAGTTTTATCTATCACTTTAATAATCTGAAATTAAAAACCAGCCAAATTCATCTCTTCATGTTTTCTAAATACTTCATGCAAATCTTAGCTTTAGGCTTTTGCTCGTGTTTCCCAACCTGCCTGCCCTGTTCCCTACCCGGGAAATCTTATTAGTCTTTCACAGTGAAGTTTGTTCTACTTCCTCAGTCCCCTTTTCTGAATAACCTATATTTATTTCTCTCTTTATGTTCTAGTGGTATATATTGTCTTGTTTGTTTTTGTAGTTAAAATTGTACTGTTTTGCATTATTACTTATTTTACATATTATTGCCTTCTTTTATCAATGATATTTTACTTCTGAAGTTAGTATTACATTTCATCACACCCTCTAGTGACCGAGTTTTCACATACTAATTATTTTAGATACTAAAATATTTGAATAATTTTTTTTAAAAAATGTATTTTCATTGATTTCAGAGAGGAAGGGAGAGTGAGAGATAGAAACATCAGTGATGAGAGAGGATCATTGATCACCTGCCTCCTGCACACACCCACCAGGGATCTAGCCAGAACCTGATCGGAAATTGAACCATGACTCCCTAGTTCATAGGTCAGTGCTCAACCATTGAGCCACACCAGCCAGGCAAATATCTGAATTTAACCTACAACAAACATAATGGGGGGGGAAATGTCTTTAAGAAAAAATTCATATGATGCAATTCAAATTATACAGGAGTAATTTATAGATCATTATTATAACTATATTCCATTTCTGTGGGTAATCAAGAGTTGATTGTATATCAGAATGAATAAGATACTGATATATCAGACAAACTTTCTGGCTTTTATTTGGAATTTTAAGGTATTTAATTAATCAAATTTGTTAAGTCAAACTGGTCTTTTTCCTGCTTAAAGTTAGTTTTTAAAATGGAAATATGTTTTTGAGATTTTAAAAATAAAAATACACAGATAAAAGATAAAAGTCTACAAAGCAGAAATTACATATTACTGATATTTCTATACTACTGTCAAAGACACTAATGTTTTATAAGCATCTTTACTATTTATACCATCTTTACTGATACCTACTACTAGGTATCAGTGTGATTAAATATAAAAGTTACTCATTGTTTTGGAAGTAGACTTCAGTGATACGGTATTTTTAATTTTGTTGAATGATTAATTTAGCTTGGTCATCTGATTTGAAGCCAGTCTTTGCAACTTTTGGCACTACCCAGAGCTATAGTAGGAAAAGCTGCAATAGGAAAAGAAGATGAGCAAGGTTGTATTGCTTTGTTCTAGAATCAGAAAAGTTAACACTTTAATAATTAAGGGAAATAGATGTTAGATACTGCCAAGTAGGTCTCATTGTTGCTGAGCAGATACCTGCTAACAATAATCCCAAATGTTAGGAGTTACCTAACAGGAGGGAGAAATCCATGTTATATGTTAGTGAACCAGATTGATAAATGTATGTCTAGACTTTTTTTTTGGGGGGGGGGGGCAGGAGGGAGTACAGTTTTGTGCATATCCTCACACCATAATTTAACCATTTTTTTAAATGGAGAAAGCATTTTGACAATTTTTCTAAAGAAGCAAAGTCTTAATTCACAAGCATTACTGTTTATTGAATAGAAATATAATAAAACATTGAGTTGAAAACAGTGGAAAGAAAATAAGCTCACTCACTACCTAGATAACTTACTCCTTCAAAGCTGCCTTAATGCTCCTCAGCCTGATTCATACCTCCTTAATATGTCTATTGCCACATTTCCTAGACCTTCGAGTTATTTGGCGTTACTAAATTATGAGTCATAAAACAGCTTTATGGGCATCCTTACTTTATAATAAAAACTTTATTAAATAAAGTTTCAGGGCAAAATAAATGTAGCCCAATTAAGTTTTATCAATATATATGAATTAAAGTAATTAAAAACTATACAATGCAGTTTAATAACTTTTATGTTTTAGAAGGCATTTTACCTGAGGGCACATGGATATATGTTGGTTATTCCAGAGGACAAAGAAAAAAATTGAGAGACTTCAGAATTATTTTATTATATACACTTGACCATCCAACTTTAAGGAAAGAAAATATAGTCAAGTCACTGGGATAGGAAGGCAAGATTCCAGCTACCATGGTGGTCAACAGTAGTCCAAGGGATAAATCAAATAATGGGTAGTTTGAATGTTTGCTACCTAATCCAATCATGATTGAATCTAAGGTAAAAATTCTCTGGAATCATGCTGTCCAATAGAAATAGAATTTGGCCTACATACGTGTAATTTTAAATTTTCTAGTAACCACGTTGAACAAAATAAAAGGAAACAACTGAAATTACCTTCAATAATATATTTAATCTAGTCCAACATATCCAAACTATTTTAAAGAGTAATCAATATTTTTAAAAAGTTAAAAAGAGGTTTTACATTTTTGTGTGCTATGTCTGAAATTCAGTGTATTTCCTAAAGCACAACACAATTTGGACTTAGCCACATTTCAGGTTCTTGGAAAGTGTATATTTAGAACATCTTCTATAAAGATTTTATGTAATATACAGAAACAAAGTTTTATTTTTACGATCTGTACTTCAATTGCTAGAAATCTGTCTATATATTCTGATCTTTAAATAAAATGATGATGTATACCTTACTTTCTTTTTTTAAAACATATTTTTATTGATTTCAGAGAGGAAGGGAGAGGGAGAGTTAGAAACATCAATGAGAGAGAATCATTGATCAGCTGCCCCTTGCATGGCCCCTACTGGGGATTGAGCCCGAAACCTGGGCATGTGCCCTTGACTGGAATTGAACCTGGGACCTTTCATTCCACCAGCTGACATTAGTATCCAATGAGCCAAACCAGCTAGGGCAGTGGTTGGCAAACTCATTAGTCAACAGAGCCAAATGTCAATAGTACGATTGAAATTTCTTTTGAGAGCCACATTTTTTAAACTTAAACTTCTTCTAATGCCACTTCTTCAAAATAGACTCACCCAGGCCTTGGTATTTTGTGGATGATGTGGCTCAAGAGCCGACCACGGAGCTAGGGCATACTTTACTCTTTACAATATTAAATTACTTTAAATAATTGGGATTGACATAATCTGATTTGTGTTTTCTTTTGTATTTTAAGGATATGGAATATTATCTTGTAAAATGGAAAGGATGGCCAGATTCTACAAATACTTGGGAACCTTTGCAAAATCTCAAGTGCCCATTACTACTTCAGCAATTCTCTAATGACAAGCATAATTATTTATCTCAGGTAAAGAAAGGCAAAGCAATAACTCTAAACAATAACGAAGCTTTGGAACCCGCCATTGCTGAATACATTGTAAAGAAGGCTAAACAAAGGATAGCTCTGCAAAGATGGCAAGATGAACTCAACAGAAGAAAAAATCATAAAGGAATGATTTTTGTTGAAAATACTGTTGACTTAGAGGGCCCACCTTCAGACTTCTACTACATTAATGAATACAAACCTACTCCTGGAATCAGCTTAGTAAATGAAGCTACCTTTGGTTGTTCATGCACAGATTGCTTCTTTGAGAAATGTTGTCCTGCTGAAGCTGGAGTTCTTTTGGCTTATAATAAAAACCAACAAATTAAAATCCCACCTGGTACCCCTATTTATGAATGCAACTCAAGATGCCAATGTGGACCTGATTGTCCCAATAGGATTGTACAGAAAGGCACACAGTATTCACTTTGCATCTTTCGAACTAGTAATGGCTGTGGCTGGGGTGTAAAAACCCTTGTGAAGATTAAAAGAATGAGTTTTGTCATGGAATATGTTGGAGAGGTACGTTCAACTTATCACACAGCAAATGATATATGTGAACTGTTTACACTTTTTTTTTGTTTACACTTTTAAAAAGTTATCTTTTTATCTCAGTAACAAATATTTGATACATTTCTATATCATTTGCAAATATGCAGAAATTTTACATTTGAAAGAAGGGTCCACAGTTATTTGGAATTGGATCACTAGCATAGAAATATAAACTTGAATAAACAAAAGAAATATATGTACATTGACAAATGAGATACAGTCATCTTTCAACAAATATCCATTTATAGTCAATGTAAGTGACATTTGTGAAGTTTAAAATATGACAATTATTTTTACACTAATTTCTAAGAAGAAAATGAGATCTAAACATATGCTGACTTTGAGACTTTTATAATATACTGCATTAATTTGACCAAATATTGGTTAACTGTATTTGCCAAAACTTAGTTTTGTTTCAACTTGAAAGATATTATAGAGTAGACCAGTGTTTTATGAGCAAGTGCTGTAGGATAAACATAAAAACATTTATTGTGTCCATAAGAAAATCCAAATAAACTCTTTGTAACTCAACTACAAAGACTACTTTCTACATTACCAAATACTAAACAAATTTATTTTTATACATATAATGTGTATATATGCAAAAGTATTATTTCCCTATAAACACATTAATTCTCTCAACTCTAAGGTAGTATCATCTCCATTCTTTTTTTTATTTTTTATTTTTATTGATTATGGTCTCACATAATTGTCCTTATTCCCCCATTCCCATCCTAAACCCCTCCCTAGAGATGCCCCACCCACCCCCTCCACCCCCCCTTTGTCCATGGCCACTGGCTAGGCCCATATGTATGCACACAAGTCCTTTGGTTGATCTCTTCCTCTTACCCCCATTCCCCCTTAGTTCCCTCTGAGGTTTGAGAGTCTGATCGCTGGTTCTCTTTCTCTGGGTCTGTTTGTGTTGTTCATTATTTCCTCTAGATGTGTGAGATCATGTGATCCAAGAAATACCCTTGTAAGAACCTAAACTGCAACAAGCCATAATGGTTACTATGCTGAGAGGCACATGAATCAGTCTGTAGTGAGTTCCTTTCTGGGCCAACAGTTCTTTTGCGTCCCAATTTCAATGCCAGATAGTTCCTTATGTGTACATGCCAGCCATGATATTTCAGACGAGATCAGGCGCGTTCAGGGTGGTATGGCCGTAGACCCAGCCATGATATTTCAGTTCTGGTTGGTGGACAAATGGCGGTAATGCAGGTCCGCCTGTCTCTGGTTTGGTCCTGGGCATCCTTCAGCAACCCGCAGCTGCTGTCTGCTGGTATGCTGAGGCGTCATCAGCATCTTCCATCTCTGAATTGTGTCTCTTCTGTCTTCATGGCTGGAGCGCTTCTGTCTATTCCTCTCTGTTACAGGATTCCAGATGGTCTCGGAGTTGTTTTCTGAAAATATACAAACATATTCTCGACCAAAAGTTAATAAAGGGATATTTTCTTTAAATTTAATTTGGGATTCTTTTCCATGTTCTTTCCCCCAAAATGATTTTTCCCTTGGCTTGTTTTGTCACCATGTGTGTATTTTTATGGGTATCTTGCTATTAGCGTTTTGAATGAAGGTTAATTTTCTAAAGCACAAATTTTTTAGATGTAAATTATTCTCAGGATATATTTCCTTATATGATATTCTTCCACTGTCACCCCCTTTTTTACTTGAAATAATAGGAAACTTTTGGAAATTTTATACTGTAGTCTTGATAGCTTTTACATTTTAAGTTATTTGCGCTACACTATGACTACTTTAGATTCATAACATGTTGTGCAATTTTACCTTGGCCGCTCTGCCAATAAGAATTTTTGTTAACCCATTAGGAACAGCTTTTTGAACAGTACAATCAGTTGTGTGTTTTTTTAGAATATTCATTTATTTCCATTAGCCACATTACTTTCCTACGAGAAACTAGCTACCATTCATCTGTCTTACTCAACACTCTAGCATCAATCTCATTTACCATGTGTGTATTAGTGGAGTTGATTATTTCCCTTCTTGAGAAGGGCCTGAGCATTCCTGCTGCTAGGCTGGACTTGGATATTAAAAACCCACTTGCCCACACCATGGGTATGAGACCTCTCAAATAAGTCTTGTTGCAGTGAGAGGGCAGCTGCTGTCAGCCAAGTCTCTGTCTGTTACCTGGGTCCCACTTTGAGCTGTGCATGGGAAGCGAAGCAGCCAAGGGGGCAGGAGACCTCCCTCAGAACGGGAGAAGGTTCAGGCGCCTGCCATGTTGCAGGGGGGTTGGTAAGGGTCTGTGCCCCACCTCTGTTGACCCCCAACTTCTCTCCTGATGGCCCCTCTGCGACTGTGCCTGTCTTAGGTTGTTTCTTCCCTGAGGAATCTTACCCATCTCTGGCTAACCAGCCATCCTCCGGGGCCAAGCAGGGTGATGTGAGGTTTAGTTCTGTCTCCTTGGTAGCCTATGCCTCCATGGGCTCCACACCCAGCACCTGCCTCGGGAACCCCTCACCTGCCAGGCATTGATCTCATATTTTTGGGAGCCCATGTTTCTTCTCCAGAGAGGGCCCAGCTCCCCCCACTGGGTGGGCAAGAGATCCGTGGTACCAGCCACCATGGTGCTTCAGCCTCGGCATGAACTGAAAGATCGGGCAACAATTGTGGGCACCTGGACCACAAGAAGAGGTTCATTTTTGGCAAAAGGGCAAGATGGGCCACTATAGAATGCTCGGTGCCTTCCCAGGGGGCCCTCTGCATAGTGGAAGGGATGAAGTCCTTTCATGTCGTTTTTAAATTGCTGCCAGACATTCAAAGGATTAGTTTGTATGTTTGTTTGGGAAAATTGTACAATGTGCTGTTGTAATTCTAAAATATCTAGAGCTATGTTACCTTTGTCTCCAAGCACCAGCAAAAAAAAATAAAAAAAAAAAAAATATATATATATATATATATATATATATATATATGTAATAAAATAAATGATTTTTTATTGATACCCCATGGTGCGAGGTACTGTTATACTATTGTAGGTAATGGGGATAACCCAGATGTGGGGAAAATTATAGTGACCTTGTGGAATAATATCATGTAAGGATATTCTTTGCTCTAGGCCATGGAAATTCCATTTTAAACTGGCCGTCAATTTCTTTTTGTATAGACAAGGTCTTTGTTTCATTTTCTACACCTCTCCCAGGAGGAAGGAGTGATGATCCCTTCCTTTGGTGTCCTCATCAGCTAGAATTTTACACACAAAGGAACAGTGGTTTAATTCTGTGTCATACAGAAGGGGAGATGGGTGGTGACCCCTATGTAATTATACTTTTTTGTCCCACCTGTGGTCCTCCTGGATGACCAAGGTATCATCTCCATTCTTATAGGCAAGGAAACAGGCACAGAGAAATTAAGTACCTTGCTCAAATACAAACAGTAGTGAGGAGTAATGACTCAAAACCAAGGCTCAAAAATCAGTGCACTTCACCACTTCCTCAAACTGATGGGTTAAGCTGTAACTAGAAAAATACGAGTATGACTGCATATCTAGTCTGTCAAACCTGACATTTTAAAAGTTGTTTGGAATTGGATCACCTAATTTTGAGATTAAATTGGATCCCTATATTGATCTTTATATTTTTAGACAATGGCAGATTATTATAAATCACTGTTTAGGATACTAAATCTTTTATAATTCAATTCTCTTTTTTTGGCTTAAAAAGCATAGCAGCTAAATTTGGTTGGCACTATAAATCACCACAGACAGACATTTTTTTTAAAATCCTCACCCACAGATATTTTTTCCCATTGATTTTGAGAGAGAGTGGAAGGGAGGGGGAGAGAGAGAGATACATTGAGGTGAGAGAGACACATGGATTAGTTGCCTCCCTCACGCATGCTGACCTGGCCAGGGATCTAGCCTGCAACCAAAGTACATGCCCTTGACCAGAATCACATCCCCCACACTTCATTCCATGGGCCAATGCTCTAACCACTGAACCAACCAGCTAGGGGGACACATTTTGTTTTTGTTTTTTTAATATATTTTATTGATTTTTTTACAGAGAGGAAGGGAGAGAGATAGAGAGCTAGAAACGTCGATGAGAGAGAAACATCGACCAGATGCCGGTGTGCCCGCAACCAACGTACATGCCCCTGACTGGAATCGAACCTGGGACCTTTCAGTTCGCAGACCGACGCTCTGCCACTGGGCCAAACTGGCTTCGGCCATATTTTGTTTCTTAAGCTGAGCATGTGGTAAAGCTATGTTGTTAAGAGCAGAATTGTAATTGATGGTTTTGAGCTGCCGAAATTTCATGAAAACAACCTATTCCTATAAAATAAAACTTTCCATACAATTGACTGCAAATTAACGTACCTTTTCTCCTTTGTTTTTAATAAATTTCCCTTTGTAACTGCACAAGATTTGTTATAGGAAAAATGTCCCTTTAGAGCACATATACTTGTAAACTTAGTGCTTTGCATTCTGTTATGTCCTACAAAGAGCTATAGTTATGTCGCATTTTGAACATCTCAATAGATTAGAATAAAAGTAGTACATGGTTTCAGCTTCATTGTTAAATGGTCCTAATTCCTATTTAAATAGTCATAATTCTTTTGCACCATCATTTTTACTCCCTTTGCTTTCCCACCTCTTTCTGTCTGGTTCTTCTAGAGTCATTTGTGTGAATGTATATTTTGATGACACTTTATTTTTAAATATTTATAGACACTACCATGTTAATTAATAGATTTATGGATGAGAGTTTCTTCGCTTCAGCAGTATCTATATAATATACTATAGTTTTTTTAAATTTTTAGGTAATCACAAGTGAAGAAGCTGAAAGACGGGGGCAGTTATATGACAACAAAGGAATCACATATCTCTTTGATCTGGATTATGAATCTGATGAATTCACAGTGGATGCAGCTCGATATGGAAACGTGTCTCATTTTGTGAATCATAGTGTAAGAAATACGGAAAGTATAGGCAGAACTAATTAGTACTGTGTTTAATGTTTTTCCATAGTTGAGGAAATAATTACCTTTGAACCACAGACTCTCAATATTTCCAAAGTATTTTAGTACAAGGACTTTTATGTTAAACCATGGGATTATCGCTGTGTTAGAAAAATCATTTGGAAAATTCAAAATGCAAATACTATATATTTTGCAAGTCTTTACATATGTTACTTAAACTTTTCAACAACTTCATAAGATAGTTATCCTCAGAGGAAGAAATGAGCAGAGAAGTTAAGAGGTAGAAAGTAGAAAGTTTAAGGAACACATACAACTATATAGAAGCTAACACAGCTAAATTTTTGAATATATAATTAAAGATAGTTGTATTCTCTTAAAATATAAACACATTGACATTTTTATAAGATTTACATATTTATAGAGTATTGAAATAGTATTTAGGGTTATTTTTCTAAATTATAAGTTAGTATTCTTAAGTATTAGTCTTGTAAGATTGACATCTCCATTTTATAGATTGCAAGAGAGTAAGCTGACCATATAAGGTAGTAGACTGTGTTAAACTTTTGATGGATTTTATACAAAAAAGCTAATTTTGACTAGTAATGAAATGCCAGAGACCTTCTGACTCCCTTCTTTCTGATTTACTTAAATTTTTACTTTAATCGTGTTCTTTTTTTTTTAATATATTTTTTTTTTATTGATTTTTTACAGAGAGGAAGAGAGAGGGATAGAGAGTTAGAAACATCGATGAGAGAGAATCATTGATTAGCTGCCTCTTGCACACCCCCCACTGGGGATGTGCCCGCAACCAAGGTACATGCCCTTGACTGGAATCGAACCCGGGACCTTTCAGTCCACAGACCGATGCTCTATCCACTGAGCCAAACCGGCTTCGGCTAATCTTGTTCTTAATAATAAATTTGGGATACTCCATATCTCCAGTATTACATATCCCAGAATTTAGTGTATAGTTCTCAATATGATCAAACAATTTCAAGCAAGAGTAATGAAACTGCTGAAACCGGTTTGGTTCAGTGGATAGAGCGTTGACCTGCGGACTGAAAGGTCCCGGGTTTAATTTCGGTGAAGGGCATGTACCTTGGTTGCGGGCACATCTCCAGTAGTGGGTGTGCAAGAGGCAGCTGATCAATGATTCTCTCTTATCGATATATCTAATGCTCTATGTCTCTTCCTCTTTGTAAAATATCAATAAAATATATATATATTTTTAAAAAGAGTAATGAAATCCCATGCAATATGAAATTTGAGTTCTACAGTACTGACTTGATTTATTAAATGCAGTTGTTCTAATTCTTTAAATATGCCTTACTGAGTGAGATATTGACAGGTGAACTGATAATGTTATCTGTTTTTGCAATAACATTATCCAGGAAAAATTAAAAAGTCAGAATAGATTAAACAAGATTGGCAAAAATGTTGATAATTTTTGAAGCTGCATAGTGGATTCATGTGGACTTATATTATTCTCTATAGTTTAATGTATGTCTGAAATTTTCTATAAGTTTGAAAACATTATTTTTACATTATCATATCTCAAAGACCTCCAAATAATCAATTTCCAGGACATCTTAAAAAAAAATACTCTGGGCAACTGAAAATTTTATATGGATGTAGAAGAGTTTATTCACGTCATTTTTACTTAAATGGGTTCTAATATTCTTTTTTAGTGTGACCCAAATCTTCAGGTGTTCAATGTTTTCATTGATAACCTCGATACTCGTCTTCCCCGAATAGCATTATTTTCCACAAGAACCATAAATGCTGGAGAAGAGCTCACTTTTGATTATCAAATGAAAGGTATGGTTTTCAAGTACAGTTTTGTTGGTATTGTTTTAGTATGGAGAATCTGTTCAAGAATAGGAAAATACTAGATCATCTGAACCAGTATTAAAGATGAAAATAGTGAGGTTTTGTCTTTTTATTCAAGGTCTCAAAGCTAACCTTACAAAGCTAAAACTGGAATCCAGTTCTGCCTGACCTTGAGCTGAGTGATTTAATTTCTTATTCAGCAAATTGCCAACTTCCATTATGGAAACCTACATATTCTAACATCTTTTCTCAGTACTACTTGGATTTAAAAAATTGTAAGCCTACATTTCTGAATCTTTACTAAGAGATGGATTTTTTTCTTTTGTTTTTTGAAATGAATATTCTTAGTAAAGACAATTGAAAGATTGAAAAATGTGATTTAAATCACACATGAACTTATTCCATTCCTACTGGAATTTGGCTTTTAAAAAGAACATTTAGTTCTATTTACTTTATTGTGATACTATAAATAAGCATGATGCCTTTTACATATTATTACTACCTGATTTTATTTATGGCTCTTATATTATGTATGAAATGAATAATTGTGTATTGTATTTTCCCAGAAAGTTGCATCATTTCAGAAATCTATTCTCATAAATATGGGCTAATAACATAAACTTTACCTCTTATTAGCCTACACCAGTGGTCTGTAAACCGTGGCTTGCGAGCCACATGCGGCTTTTTGGCACCTTGAGTGTGGCTCTTTCACAAAATACCATGTGCAGGCGTGCACATACAGTGTGATTGAAACTTCATGGCCCATGTGCAGAAGATGGTTTTCGGCCTAGGCAAGTCTATTTTGAAGAAGTGGTTCTAACACCGAGCCATACTCAAGAAGCCAAAGAACCGCATGTGGCTTGTGAGCCGCGGTTTTCCGACCACTGGCCTCGACCATCCTTTCAAGACAATTCATAATGATTTCTCTGTGAATATTCACACTTATTTAATGCTGATAGAAAATTTGAAACTCATTCTGAATTGCCTTAACTATCTTTCTCCTGTATTTCTTTCTCTACATATTCAGGTTCTGGAGATATATCTTCAGACTCTACTGACTACGGCCCGGCTAAAAAGAGAGTCAGAACTGTGTGCAAATGTGGAGCTATGACTTGCAGAGGTTACCTCAACTGAATTTTCAGGAAATAGAGCTGAGGATAAATGTAGTTTTGTTTTTTACTAATGTTAACATTTTTAAAAATAAATATTTGGGACTCTTTTCATATTATCAAGATTATATACTATGTTAATTTACAATTCCTGTTTCAAACTATTGGCTAAATGCATCATTGATGCTTCTGAAGAGAGGAGCGCAAGGTCACATAGACCAATTTGAAATATACCTAATTAGTGGATAGATACCAAAGAAAGGAATACTACTATAGGTCAGAATATACATACTTAAGAAGTCTGTGTGAATAGAAAAATGCCTCCTTCAGTGTTTTAAGTGTTAAACTGATAATGTCACGATCACTAAGATCAAACATTCAATTTGCTATATACCTTGAATTTAGAGAACTAGTAAAGTTCTATTTTTGTTATGTTGTTCCTGTTTATTTATTACTATAAATATTGTTACTTGTGTTGGAGACAAATAGGTGATACTGAATTATACCCTGTTTTCTACATCTTTCATTAAAACATTGAGATCTTAATGATACTGAAATTTAAGGTCTAAAATTAAATGTGAAAAAAATTACAGGTTTATTTCATATTTTGAAGCAACTTAGACCATTATTTGAACCAGTAATCCTATAGGAGAAAAATCTTCCAAAAGTTCTAAAATTCTAGAATAGTTGGTCATTAATGCCTCTTGGAAATGACACAGCAATGGGAGCAAGAAGGTTTTGTTTTTGTTTTTTTTTGGGGGGGGGAGTACCAGGCAAGGGCAATGGGGTGCTTTAAGGATCTTTTTCAAAAACATAAATTTGGAGATTCCCCCTGAGAGCAGCTGTACTTAATATAACATTCACATAACACTTTCTGAATATAAGGCTGTTTTGAACATTTCCTTTCTATGAAATTTAACTATTTTTATATTTTCTACAAGATCTTCTTTAAAAATAATCTATATTTTTGAAATGATACCTATTTTATATGTGAGTTTTTAAAATGTGACAAAGCTAAACTTGGCTTGGCCAAAGTGTGTGCCTGAATTATAAGACCATTTATTACTTGAACTATAAAGACTGAAATGGAATATATTCATTGTTGGTTTTGTTTACTTTCCTACATAGTAAAACCTCAAAATGGTGTTTTCATCTCTTTCTGATTCTGGGTTTTTTATTGTTATTTCTTTCTGATTCTGGGTTTTCTAATCCTGGTGTTCAACATAAAAGCAAGGCAGCAAATAAATCTAGCTCATTGCCCTAGGCTTTAAGGATGTAAAATAAGCTTTAGTAAATTGAACTGATTTCAAGAATGCAGCATTTTAAATATTTACTTTTTAAAAAAATATTTGTATTTAAAATATCTTAATTTCTAACCTTTTCTTTTGGGGGGGAAGCTACATTTAATTATTATATTGCTATTATGGCTTTATTTTTTCATAATATAGGGTAAATTGTTTACATGTTTAGAACTTCAGAGTATATTTGCTAACCAAAATTTGCAGAAGGTGTGAAAAAAAAAAAAATGGCATGATATCAGTGTTGAGAGAGCATCATTGATTTTACAGGTTGCTCCCCTTGGCCAAGCATTCTTTGAATTATAATTGGTAAGTTTAAAGATGTGATTTTCATTTTTTTTAAAGTCTATTTCACTGCCTACTTAATCTTGTCTACTTTTTGTGTTAAAAATATAAAACAGGAGGGCAAAGGGAAAATGGTTATTTTCAGGCAACTGTATTGTTATTAATAGAAATTGAATGGGCTTTGAGATTTTAATTACCTGTGTTACCCTTATATTATTAAATAGCTGAACTCTGGTAGAAAAATTAACATTTAGCTTTTTTACATTAGTTTCCTAAGTTGTCATAATTTTTTCTCTCAATATAAAGCAAATATTCAGTGGTAGTATTTACATTAAGTTTAAACTGTCAGTTAATCCACTGTAGAAGTAATATTAATACCATTGTTTTCGGTTTCTACAGATGAAGATTGTAATACACAATTGGTAATCTCAGGTTTTTCCATATATGCAAAATCTATACAGCACTTATTATTCTTATACTAAAAGCCCGATGCACGAAATTCGTGCACGTGTGTGTGGGGGGGATGTCCCTCAGCCCAGCCTGCACCCTCTCCCATCTGGGACCCCTTGAGGGATGCCCAGTGGGGTCGGACATCCCTCTCACAATCCAGGACTGCTGGCTTCCAACTGCTTGATTGCCCCTAACTGCTTCTGCCTGCCAGCCTGATCACCCCCTAACTACACCCCTGCCAGCTTGATTGATGCCTAACAGCTCCCCTGCTAGCCTGTTTGCCCTAAATGCCCTCCCCTGCAGGCTTGGTCCCCACCCCCCACTCCAACTGCTCTCTACTGCAGGCCTGGGTCCCCCCCAAATTGTCCTTTCCTTGAGGTCCGGTCATCCCCAACTTCCCTCTTCTGCCAGCCTGGTCACCCCTAACTGCCCTCCCCTGCAGGCCTGGTCTCCCCCTTCCCACCCAACTGCTTTCCACTGCAGTCCTGGTCCCCCTCAACTGCTCTCCACTGCAGGCCTGGGTCCTCCCACCTGCTCTTCCCTGCATGCCCGGTCACTTCCAAATTCCCTCCTCTGCTAGCCTGGTCCCTCCAGACTACCTTTCCTGCTAGCCATCTTGTGGTGGCCATATTGTGTCCACATGGGGGCAGCAGTCTTGTGGTTGCCATGATGGTCAATCTGCATATTACTCTTTTATTAGATAGGATAGAGACCTAGTGCATGGTGGAGGCCACCTGGTTTGCCCTGAAGAATGTCCCAATCAGGGTAGGGGTTCCCTTCGGGTGTGGGGCAGCCTGGGTGAGGGGCCTGTGGTGATTTGCAGGCTGGCCATGCCCCCTGGCAACCCAAACAGAGGCCCTGGTATCTGGGGTTTATTTATCTTCTACAATTGAAACTTTGTAGCCTTAAGCAGAGGGTATGTGGAAAGTTTGGCTTCCTCCATTGCCGGGGGCAACCCTAACCCCCTCATTTCCAGTTCCATGGCTGCCACTATTTGTTTGGATTTGTTTACCTTCTATAATTGAAACTTTATATCCTTGACTGGAGGCCTAGGCTGGCAAGGGCAGGCGGGAAGCTTGGCTTCCTCCATCGCCTGGGAAACCCAAGCCTCCCTTCTGCTCTCTGTGGCTGTAGCCATTTTGGTTGGGTTTATTTGCATATTTGCTCCTGATTGGCTGGTGGGTGTGGCTGGTGGGTATAGTGGATTGTTAATTTGCATGTTACTCTTTTATTAGATAGGGTTTCAGTAGGGTTTTTTTAGCAAATAAATTTAGACATTTGATTTTCTATTTATCATGGGTTACCTTTGTTTCTGAATATTTTACTCTTTTCCAGACTATAAAAAGGATACAAAATACTGATGTATTCCTGACTACCTGCTGTTGAGATTAACCAAAGGTTTATATAGCATTCCTTAAAATGTTAGATTTTGTTTTAAACAGTTTATTGTTGTCATGGTTCATGCATTTGGATATTAAACTATAATTTTACACTTAGCATAATGTGAATGGATATTTCTCGAAATTGTTTGAGCATTATTATCAAATATTTAAACTAGTTTCACTAAGTAATGCCTAGAACTGTAAAGGAATTTTAGAATTAGAGCTAAGAAATATTCCTTGAGCAAGTCTTAGGCCTTTATATGTACTCAAATCTATGAGTTTGGTGCTGTCATCTCTATAGTACACCAAAGGAAATATTTTAGACTGATTAAGTAATATTAACATGCCCAAGATCACCCAGTAAACTATTCCTAAATTTAATTAACAACTTCAGGCATACTTTTTAAAAAAATAAATTTAAACTATGAGTTTAAATGAACTTCTAAGCCTTGGATTCATCTCTAAGGCAAATGGGACTAGCCAATGGATTTCTTCTGCGATGTATCTTGGCATTTTGACACTTTTTTTGCCTTTCTAGTACTTTCTAGTTCCTGAAGTAAAACATCAAGTAGTCACTGCCTAATCCTGCTCACTGTTGAGCTCTTTTTGAGGGGCCTTATTGCATAGTGATTAAAAGCATGGACTTGGGACTGAATTGCCTAGCTTCAACCTGTACTACCTATGTAAACCAACCTCTCTGTGCCTTAACCTCCTCATCTTTGAATAGGAATAATGAATGTATTTACACTAGAGGCCTGGTGCACGAATTCATGCACAGGTGGGGTCCGGCCTGCCTGCCTGGTCAGCCATGGGAAGGGCTGTGGGTGGTTGGTGGGCTGTGCCCACCCCTGGCTGAACTCCCAGTTGAACTCCTGGTGGAGGGGACAATTTGTATATTGGGCTTTTATTAATAGAATACTTCAAAGGGTGTTGTGAGGATTAAAAGTGTGAGAGAAGGAGAATCCAAGATGGCTGCACAGGTAAACACCTAGCCACAGCTGCACACAACAATTTCAATAAAATACAACTAAAATATAAAATGGACATTACCCAGAATTACAGGAAAGTCGACTGACTGGAAATTCTACAACGAGAAGCAAGGAGAAAACCAGAGGAAGAGCAGAGGAGCTGTAAGAGCCTAAGGTATGGAGACACGCGGCGCACAGAGAGGCAGTCCCGGAGGCACGCACAATGTGCGCAGAGGATGGACTGTTGACTCTGCTGCCAGATTGCCCTGGTGGGAAGGAGACAGGCTCCGGACTGTGCTGGGCCCCAGTTCCAACTCCTTTGAACCTCAGTTCTAGGCCAGACCCTGGGGACCCAGGCTCAAACAGAGGGAGCTGGGCTATAAGGCGGAACCCCAGGGGAGCGGCGAAAGGAGGTCCCGGAGGCGCACACATTGCGCACAGAGAAGGGACGGTTGGCTGTGCCGCAGGATTGCCCTGGCGGGAAGGAGATAGGGGCTCTAGACTGCTCTGAACGCTACCTCCAGCCCCACTTCCAACTGAAATGAGCCCACACTGTTTGGTAGCAGGCGAAAATCAAGGACACCTTTCTCTCAGAGGTGCTTGCAGCGAGTACTGAAGGACCCTGAGATTCAGGAACCGCATAGGGCGTGGCTGATGGAAGCCAAGCCTATAGGCTCCACCCTGAAACTCCGCCCCATCAGGGAAGCGGCGAAAATGCCAAGACAATGAAATAATCACAAATGAAAGAAATGGAGGACAAAAAGCAACTGGATATAGAGTTCAAAACCACACTTATAAGGTTGTTCAAGAATCTCCTAGAAAAGGCCAATAAAGTAAACGAGACCTATGAGGATATGAAAAGGGATCAACTAGAAATAATAAGGGATCAACAAGAAATAATAAGGGATCAGCCGAAACCGGTTTGGCTCAATGGATAGAGCGTTGGCTTGGGGACTGAAGGGACCCGGGTTCGATTCCGGTCAAGGGCATGTACCTTGGTTGCGGGCATATCCCCAGTAGGGGTGTGCAAGAGGCAGCTGATCGATGACTCTCTCTCATTGATGTTTCTAGCTCTCTATCTCTCCCCCTTCCTCTCTGTACAAAATCAATAAAATATAAAAAAAAAAAAAAAAAAAAAAAAAAAAAAAAAAGAAATAATAAGGGATCAACAAGAAACAAAGAATACATTGTCTGAAATAAAAAATATTATACAGAGTCCTAAAAACAGAATGGAAGACCGCAAGAATCAAGTCAAAGATTTGGAACATAAAGAGCCAGAAGACACTCCTCCGCAGAAGCAAGAAGGCAAGAGAATCCAGAAAATTGAAGATAATGTAAGAAACCTCTGGGACAAGCGAACTTCAAGCGAACCAACATCAGAATTATGGGGGTCCCAAAAGATGAGAGAGAGCAAGATATCGGAAACATACTGAAAGAAATAGTGACAGAAAACTTCCCCCACCTGGTGAAAGAATTAGACTTACAAGTCCAGGAGGCACACAGAACTCCAAACAAAAGGAATCCAAATAAGACCATACCAAGACAAATCATAATTAAAATTCCAAGAGCAAAAGACAAAGAATATTAAAAGCAGCAAGAGCAAAGCAGGTAGTTACCTATAAAGGAGCACCTATACGATTGTCAACTGATTTTTCAACAGAAACCATGCAGGCCAGACGGGAATGGCAAGAAATATTCAAGGTGATGAATAGTAAGAACCTACAGCCAAAGATAATCTATCCAGCAAAGCTATCACTC